TGCTGAAAGATGAAAACCTGTAGCCTTTGCTATTACAGAGAAAGTGTGTTACTTACCGACCTATTACAATGTTACTGCATTACCTGCGGTTCCTTATTGTGCTGGCTAGGATCCTTCTCATAACTCTCTGCATAGATCCGGAGAGTTGCTCTCACATGGCTAGAAGCACTCATTCTGAAGATGAGCCTGGAAGCATCTGAAAAAATAATCCGCAGCCCCTGTGGGAGAAGAAGCAGCAGCATGTATGTATGGTGGTTGTACCTTTCCAAATCACAGTTCACTGCTTTAAAATATGTGAAAGGAAGAGTCATCTGGATGCAAATCCTCTGTCCCTGTTAACTTTGGACAACTTATTTATTCTCTTTTTCCCTCTTCTAAAGACTAGAAATAAACTTGTGCATTTCCTCCCACTCCTCATAACAAAGGCTCTCTTACTGCTGTTTTTATTTTCTTCATCTGACTTATTCTTTATCTGCGTTGGCAGAGCACAAAATCAATGTCCTGAGAAATGTTTACAAGATCAGCAAGAATCAGTGGTCTCAGAAACAGCTATAGGATCCACAGCTGACTGAGTTTCTGTACAGAAAGGCCATTAAGGCCAAAGGACAGTTAAATAGTTGTAGTGTTTCAATACTCTACTTATTCTGTACTAACACAAGTCCAGTTCTCCTTCTGTAAATGGTACCCTAAGGCTAACTGGCAAGTCTGCTATGCCACTGAACTTTATTTCCCCTTTTCGTCCTGCTGTTGGCCAATACCTAGTGCATAAACTGAGATCCTTGCTACTTCTGTTTAAGAGGCAGTAAACCATTAAAACGAGAGAAGAGAATCAAGAGAGAGCCATTTTATTCTTCCAGTTTTATCATCAGCTTGAGAAGACACTGATGTTAGCAACAAAGAGCTCCAGTATTCAAAAGTATAAGTAGAAACCTTTGTTTCTCCAGGTATATGCCTAAACTTCATCAGCACCATGTAGAGCATTGTTTGGTTGATTATCACTGAATCACACAATGGTTTGGGTGGGAAAGGACCTTTAAAGGTCATCCATTAAAATCCACCTGCAGTGATCACCAACATCTGCAAGTAGATCAGGCTGTTCACAGCCCTGGCCAGCCTGACCTTGAATGTCTCCAGGGATGGGACATCTACCAGCACTCTGGGCAACCTGTTTCAGTGTTTCAGCATTTCAGCACTCTCATTGTAAAAGATTCCTTCCTAGTATTTAGTCTAAACCTACTGTACTTTAGTTTAAAGCATTAATGCTTGTCCTATCATGACAGGTCCTGCTATTTCTTATAAGCTCCATATAAATACTGAAAGGCAATGCAATAAGGTGTTCCCAGAGCTTTCTCTTCTCCAGGCTGAACAATACCAACCCTCTCAGCCTGTCTTCATAGCAGAGGTGCTCTAGCCCTCTGATCATTATTGTGGCCCTCTTCTGGACCCACTCCAAAAGGTTCATGTCTTTTCTTGTGAAATGCCCATTGTTACTAGAAAATATTCAACAGGAAAATATCCCATCAGGATAAAGGGTTGTATTAGACGGTCTAAGAGATATTTTCCATCTCTAACTTCACTGATCCAATTATTAGCTGCTAGTATTGTATTATACGTTTATTTTAACATGTACTGGCAACATAAATTTATCTTGTAGTCTCAATATTTACAGCATAAGTGACAAATGGAAACAGTTTACATTCAGAAGACTGAGCTTTAAAGCCTATTTTTCTAATATTTGCTATTAAGCCACCTTTGTAATGAGATGGTTCAGTTGATGTTAGTAAGAGTTTTGCTATTGATTTCAATGGAATCAAGATTTCATCCCAACTACAGACAGGTTCTTACAATCTGATCCTGTGAACAAGGGGTTGTCTCTTGTTCATTGCTCATTACACTTAACTTTATGGCAATAAAAGAAAGAAGATAAAATGAAGAGTTTCTCAGTTCTGTACATAGTTTGGTTTGAATGGTTGTCAAACCCAGAACCTCAGAGTACAGAATATTAATACCAAGCAAGTCTAATGTATCCGGACAAAATGAAAGCAAGAACATCCGAGTGTGAGAGAGTCTTCCTCTACAAAGACTAAAAGAGCATTTTACATGCTCCTGCCAGGCCTAACAATTCCCACAATGGCATGACTAGCAAGACCGCTTAAATACTCTTCCACATAGTCCTCATTGATCTAACAATAGTAACAGTAACATACTGCTACTCTGAAGTCTCACAACTCATTAAATTTTGGAATAAGAAGGATTTATAAACACTCCCAGCTCAATCAAGGACACTCTTCCCATAACTTTATGATGCAAAAAATGTTCCACCCAACTACAGCATCTGTAGCCAGTTTGATGTTACATTTAATGGCACTTGAGATGTCTATGTCACATACATCGACGTGACCAGCATTCAGACAGTTCACTGGACTATTTCTGAGCTTATTTTCTTTATTTTGCATTTCTCAGGGACACAAAATGAAGTATTGACTTTTACACACACACAATGACAACTAATATTTGTCTGTAAGACCAGGATTCCTGCCAACAGCTGAAAATAATCTATAAAAGGGAATTACAGAGATACAGGGGCAGTAATTCTAGGTTCCAGGGAGAAATCATATGCTAGGGCAACAGCAGCTTTTAGGGCTGGACTGTCAAAGCTGACCTTTAAAGTCATAGTATTCACATCTGGAGATTTGGCTTAACTCATTTTTTCAGAAAGCGGCAGCAAGAAAAATCTGACTTTTGACCTTCCTTTGGAAACAGTGATTTAAGCACTCGCAAAACTTTTTACTCAGGAAGTACACAGAAATTAATGAGAGCTATTTGATGTTTATATTCTTACTGTTTTCTGGAAACTATCTAAAACCATGAGTTATAAGCATTTGTTAGAACAAAAAGAAACCCAAGCAAAACCACTGCTACCAAATAAATAGGAAAAAGCATTGCTTAGAGAATAATCTGTAGTTCTGCATCTTTTGCAAAGTCAAAATCAAACAAGTTTTCCCTTGCTGTTACAAAATATACAGTCTGACATATAAAGTTTTTCTTTTTTGACATTTTTGAACTTTTTTTTGGTCAGCAAGGTCAAAGTAAGCTGCTGGAATTGCAATCAGTCTGCTTACTGTTTGTCACAATGGTGTTTTTTCGCCTGACATAAACTCCATCAATTTAAAGCCATGTATTTCCTATTTATTATATAGAAAGTGTCAGCTCTGTTAAACATAAATTTTTACACGCAGAACTTACAAGCTGATTCAAGATGAAAAGAAAGAAGAGCAATACTCTGAAAAGCCCAGAGGCCAGAATAAATTCTAGTTTTAATAAAATAGGACACAACAGTTGTCCCTAACAAGAACAATGTTTTCTTATGGGAACATTTTTAAATTTTTTTCTTCTGGGAGGAAGCAGATAAAAGGGTTCAGTACAGCTCCCACACTAAGCATTTGCAGATATTTGTTTTACACGAATTGGGCCTGCTAATGGATATTAATGAGCTGTGTAGAAACTGTAAACGAAAATTATGTTCCACAGTTAACCCACTGGCTTTGAAGCTGCTGTGATGGAGATAGAGCTTCACAGAGATTTCTCTCTTTTAGATTACAATTCAGTTGAACAGCCTGCTGATGTATTACTGTCTATGAAGCACTCAGAAAACTAAACGTAGTACATTATGTACTATGTAGTTTGGTTTCCAGTATTTTGGGGGTTTTTTCAGTTACAGATTTCATAAAAAAATAAATCACAATAAATGAGCATATTAAGTTAGCACGAAAAAGATAAAGCAGCAGACTTAAAGCAAAATATCTTAGGATTTCAGAAAACATTATTAAAGTACAATGGCAAGGAATTACACCAGTAAGAAATCTTGAGTAGCAGCAATGCATTTGACACATAACTATACTACTTCAAAATATTGCAATTATCACAATTTTTATTTGGTCCTGTACAGACCCTTTAATGTCTGTGCCCTAGGAATAGCAGACCATGCTCACTACTCTGACAAGAAGTGTCTTATTGCTGATACACGATTGAAATATAATTCAGAACAGAAAAGAAGTTTTGCCTTATCTCTGGAGTTATCTGAAACAACTTTTTTATCCAGTTTTTCCAATGTCTGTTTCCTGACTCTTGCTCAAACTGAAATGCAAAAAAACAAGATTATGTGAAGAGCCCTTTGCATCCCAAATCTAATGAAGGAGTGAGAAAACATTAACCAGCTTTTAATAGCAAAACTCCAGAGTTTTATTCTGTGAATTTCAGAACTTAAGAACCCTTCATTAAAGAGCTCAAAGTTAACCATGATGATGGGCATCCTGTACTTCAATCCTTCTAATTCAAGTTTCACCAAAAAAATGCAACAGGTCCTGCTTCTAGCTTGCAGGATCCACAGAAGCAGCACTGTTACACGTTCATGTACTGAAAAGATAGCACAACAGGACTTTAAATATGAAAGCAGTCTTCAAGAACAGCAGAATGTTTCACTTTATTTTATACCCCATTACTGCACTGTGATAAAAAATATTTGTGGGTTTCAAGAGTCAGAATGAACTAGAAGATATAGTCTAGGCAGATGGTTTGCTGGCTATTTCGTTGTTTAACACAGAGCCAGCTTCTCATTCATGAGATGTAGTGCAGTTACACTGAATATAAATCTCCGCAACCTGCTGGGGAGCAAACTTTGAACAAGTTCCTGAAAACACAGCTGAAAAATCTGCATGAAGCTCACTGCAGTCAGAAAGAAACATCTGCATTTACATGAACAGCAACCTACCAGAGGAAAGTGGCAGCAGTGAACTGTTATAGTTGAACTGTGCTCTCAAAAAATACATCTTTCTCCCTGTGATAAGACATGCTTTCTGGTTTTATGGGCTCACTTTCAGAGTTGATTTGAAAATAGGCCAAGCCATGTCACTCTGTGTTATATATTGATTTAATTAGCAATTATATTCTGACTTAGGTCAAGGGCTTTGGATGAAAGTTAAGGGAAAGTTAAGTGCACTGAAAATTTGCAAGCTGTTTTTTAAAAGCACAAGGGCCATAAGTTTATCATGCTTGTAATTTTCCAGTGGACTTGGATATGGTAATATCCTTGTATCTTGTTCCAGCAGTAGTATGCACAGAGAGCAGCTCAGTGGCAGGTGGGCTGCTGCTATTATCTAGAAGCAATGATGAATGAAAACTATAAAGACTTTGAGGAGAATGGCATGACAACAGTTTTAATGGCTTGTAATAGCTTCATTTGCTAGGGTCTGGTCAGGTCAAGTGATTTACAAACCAGAGAAACTAGGACAATAAAAATAAACAGCACAAAATTTTAATGAGTCATTGCTCAGCTTCAAGATGTCTGAACACCTGGCAAAAGTACACGGTCATTTTTGAGCATGTTATGAATTTCAAAACACTAAAAGTTCAGTTTGAACTGCAATGCTTGATAGCTAAGGCAACTCATTATGGACACAGCCCAGAAGGAATACAAAGCCAGTCATTTGGGCTACAGAAGTCAAATGTGCCCATATATAGTACCATTCACTGAAGTCTTCTGCATGCTATTGGCTGCAACAGATATTTTGCCCTACAGATGCAAATCCTGCAGGCCATTAAGAGCAGGAAAACTTTTTTGTAATGTATGGCAAGCAGTGGTTTCAGACAGAAAATAGAAAAGACTATTTCTCTATGTGACACTTTGTATTGTACAAGAAAGTGAACACTTCCTATACATGCATTGCTGTCAACAGGGAC